AATTGCTTCGCAGAGGTGCCAAGCTCATTTGGTGGCTCCATGTGACCCCTCCGCCCACCTGGCACCTTCTGTAACCTGGGTAGCTCCTAAGCTGGCCCTGTATTCATGCCCTGGTTCATCCCTCTCCTGGAGTGTGGGCTAGATCTACTGACTTGCTTCTAGCAAACAGAATGAGGCAGAGGGACCCATGTGTCTCTTCCAGGAGCAGATGACCGAAGGCTTTGGCTTGCATTTCTTGCTCACTAGTTCTGGGGGAAGCCAGCTGCCATGCTGAGGACGCCCGTGGAGAGGCCCACAAAGCAAGAAACTGCAGGCGGCCTCCAGCCACTTGTCAGCAAAGGAGCCCCGAAGTCCAACCACCAGTGAGGAACTGAATCCTGCCCACAATCCTGGGAGTGAGTTTGGTATAATTCCCCCCACCCCCTTCCTCACTGAGCCTTCGAAGGAAACCGCAGATCCGGCACCCAGACTGCAACCTCAGGAGAGACCTTGAGACACCCATCTAAGTGCTCCCGATGCCTGACTCACAGAGACTGGGAGACAATAAAGGTTTCTTGTTTTAAGGTGCTATATTTGGGGTAATTTGTTATGCAGCAATAGATAATTAAGACAGCATCTAAGTTTGCGATTATTTTAATGGCCCCTACCAACTCCAGAACTGCTCATGAGGCCTGGGGAGTAGACTATAAGAGAGTCACTATCAGAAACTCTCAAAAGGAAACTTTGTGCCCCAGAATGCAGAGATGGCTTCTAGTTTGGTGGCATTAACCCAGGCATGCTCTGGTCACACAGAGATGGCCATGGAAATGGTAATGAGGTCCCAAGTCAAACGTCACTTCTAGCTATAATCCATTGATTGGAATGAACTAGAGACGGAACCACACATGCAAGACGAGAGACTCCTTACCTGCCCAGCTGTATTTTGCTATCAGCTAAGTCCACCCTTAGAACCCGCCCAGCCATAGTGAGCCAAACTACGCCCACAGGCCCTCCTGGCCTACCCCCTGGGCTTATGTCATAAGGCTCCACGGCTCACTGAGAAGTTCTGAGATCAGCTCTTCTCCCCCTGAAACTTTTCCCAATGTTTCCAATGATTTCCACTCTCCCAACCTTTCATCTAAGCCCCATGAGCTCTAAGACTATAAATTACTTACCTTGATTTCCCAAGCACCTGATGTGAGACCTGAAACAGATCTGGTGCTTAATGAATGTACATTGTAAATAATACTTTCCTAAGGTGTATTTCATTCTCATGTATATGTTTTTCTGTCTGACTGAGCTTCTCAAGATCAGGGACCATGCCTAATTCACTGTGGTGTCCTAAAGATCCTGAGGTTCACTGACATCCAGACAAACACTGAGATCAGGGCACAGAACACTTGCTGTGAGCCAGGGGCAGATACTTGGCAGGAATTTACAAAGGACTCATGAGGCTCCCCATGCATTTAGCATCAGACCCTGTCTATTGCACAGTAATCCAATAAGAAAAGACCTGAGAATTCCTCTGACCTCCCACGCCCTTCTCAAGATAGAGGTATCTCCACTGTGCTCAGGTCAGGATATAGAAGATGTGGAATTAGGAGGTAAAAAATGAGAGAGAGAGAGAGAGAGAGAGAGAGAGAGAGAGAGAGAGAGAGAGAGAGCGAGCTTTGTCTTTTACTTTCATGAATAGACAATACCTCATACAAGACATCCTTGGGCTGCAGAAGGGCCACAGAGCCTCAGGAGGCTAGATGGGTCCTTGTTCAGACCCAGCAAGTCCTGTTGTAATTTCTGAAGCAATAATATAGAAGCAACAAAAGCTGACTAAGCAGATGGTCGGTCACACATGCCCAAAAAACATTTGATCAGATAATTGTAGGGACTCAAGACATTCACCTCTGAAGGTCAAGTGGAAGTGACCAAATGCTTTGCTTCCGGCAGAGACCAATACCTGATTCTTCTGAGAACCAAAGAGGAAATATTAAAACTCAAAGCCCTTGGCTACCATCAGCAATTGTACACTAGTATCAACAGAGGGAAATAATTTCCTTCCTGACTCCCACTGGGTAAGTCACGCCTGGAGCAGAAGGTAATCAAACAAAGCAAGAGCCAACCAGCTAGACTGTAGCTTCTAGGGGATTTCTTAAGCATTGATGCTTCATCTCCAATCTACCTCCCTCCACCTCCTACTGTCCAGAACAAAAATAAATATGAAAAGTAATAATAATACAACTTCAACCACCATCATTAAGCAAGATTCTAGATCAAGCCCCTTTCCGAGACTGAGAACAAATCAGTGCCCATCCAGTCCTGAGGAGGGTGGGGGTGCAGGGTTAGAAGAAAGGACATACACTGAGCATATCCTATGCACCAGGCAGGGTGCTGGGGACTGCATATTAGATCATCTTATTTTTCTGTATATTCGTGATGAGTCTTTAAACTAAAGAATTAAACAACTGTAATAATCTATCATGTATGGATCACACTTTATTGTTTGAAAAACAGTTTGGCATCTGTTGACCCATTTGCTCTAAACAAACATGAGAGGTAGACAGAGCAATAATTATTATTCCTAATTCTCAGTTCAGGGAAATGAAGACAGACGACCTTGTTCTTTTATGGTTGCACATCTAATCATTGTAAGAACTTCTGATACCCCATCCCACCACCATACTGACTGGCTTTTTATGAACTCACAAACTTTTTAAGCCATAATGTCCCAAAAGCCTCTTTCTGATCGGTCATTTCTTCACTCTCATAAAATCATGCAGTCTCGCTTCATCTGTGCTAGAATTCCTAAAACACTCCAACAGAGAGTTAACCAGTGCCTGATGGAACACCCTCAGGGAAAGGGCTTTATTCTTTCTCCCTATGAAAATGCACTGTGCACAAATCATGTGCCAGAGATCCCACTAGACTCTGGGGAAAACATGTGAACAAGAGGTGTTGTCCCTCTTCGGACTGTTTTCTGCTCTTAAAGACCCTAATCATACATCCCCTGCATCCCATCTTCTCTAGGATTTCATTCCTTAACAGTTCCTGGTGGGACATCATTTCCAGTCCTCCCGTCATCCTCATGTGGACAGTCCAGCTGGCTCAAGTCCCTTTCAGAGGATGAAGCAAGGACTAAAGTCTGACACTCCAGAAGAGCTCTGACAGGAGGGTTACAAGGTTAATAGTCACCAACATAGCTTTAGTCCTCGGTCCCCTTCCTATTAGCACCCAGATATGCTTTCGAGGGACCACCAGATCTCCACTGTATAGCTGCCATAAGGTCGGGATGGGATTGGTTCAAGATTCAGAGCAGAGCCCCAGTTCACATGTGCCAATTAGCATAGTGTCCTCCTCGTGGCCTTGGCAACTCGTGCAGAAGTACACAGTTACCCACGTCTGTGGGGAGATGGCAGGCAGAGCTCCCTTCCCCCGATGGCAAGGAGGTGGCCTGCAGCCCCGGTTGCAGTGAGCAGCCATCTCCTGACCATGAGGTGAAACATTCTGACAACAAAGCCAACGCACAGAAGAGGGTGGAGCAAGGATAAGAACAGAGACATAGCTGTGTCCTGCTCAAACGGGGCCTGAGCCCACATCACCTCTGAGCTCGCTGGTTTCCCCACCCACTTGGTTGGAGGTGACACACTCTATCCAATGCAGCCTAAGCCTGCATCCGTGTTCTAGAGCACAGAAGCCACGGGGCTCATAGCTAGCTCACAGACGGCAAAAACTTCTGCGTCCCTCCCAGCTCACTCCTGTTTAGGTTCTCTCTCCTATGCTGTCACTACACACTAGATTTTTTTTTAATCCAAAAGCAAGGCTTCATATTCATCACCATTTAATTTCAAACACTGAAAAAAAAAATCAAAGTAGAACAGGTAACAAAGATTCACATTTGATGCTTAAAGTGTATGCTGGGGGCAAAGCATTCAAGACCATGTTTGAAATTTCACAGGCTAACCTGTTTAAGAGTCAAAGCAGAGGTTTCCAGTCTTTTATCTTATGCAAATCTATAGGCACACAGAAAGGCCACTGTTCTTTTAAGAGAGAAGAAAGAGGGACAAAATGTAACTATAAGCTGAACCACACTTCTAAATGAAGTCCAGTTGTACCAATCACAGCAGCATGTGTTTTGTTTTGGAAAACTGCTTCATGAACATGGTAAGCCGTCTTGTTCATTCAGTGTGAGGCCAGTGCGTGGGGCACAGACAGACTGGCCCTCAGGATGGAAACCACAGATCAAGAATTCTAAATAGAAGCCTTTCCCAGAATTACCCAGCTATTTTTCTCAAGTGCCCCCAACAGCCCAGGGTATCCCACACCACTGATTCTTTTTTACCACCTCTCTTTTCTAAAGCATGATGTTCTATTCTACCCCCTAAACACAAAGAAATTCCAAAACACAAGGGAAAGCTTAGCTTACCTGGTCACCATTCCCCTTTCTGAATGTGCAACAGGATTCAAACTCAGATCCCAATGGAGCCCTAGCAGACCCTTTGAGACAGTGTTCAACTCTTTGCCTAAGCAAAGTTAGCCTCCCCTACCTCAAAGGATTGTTGTGAAAATAAAATGAAATAACAGAAGCAGCACCTTACACAGGGGTAAACGAGGGCCACTCAGTAATATTCCTTTCCTCCCTTACCCACATCCATAAGACTGTTCATTGACATTTTTATTTTGCTCTTTCAATTTCAAGAACACTTCCCTCCAGGCCAAAGGAGAAAGAAAGACGCGATACAATCATCAGCAACCGGAAGTCATCATTACTCCAAATTTTCTTCCAATCTCTCTTCATGCCAGCTTCCAAGAGCTGAGTCCTGCCTTTTCTTTGCCACACATTTTATTAGCATTATTATATTGCATCCATTGCCAATGAAATTAACTTAAGAAAAAAAAGAGAGAACATTTCGGTTCATCTCCAGCTCTTAGTCCATGCTTTCCTTAAATGAAAACACTGATTTTTGAGACATTAAAACATGCACATTGATTACAAAAAGAAAAAGTCTTCTTTTCTGCATAAGACTCACCAATTGAGAAATAAATATCTTCCCTCCAACGAGTGCCCAGTAGAACAATGGGAAAAAGCCCTAAACTGAGAATCAGGACAGTGGATCCCGTCTTCAGTTCTGTTCCTGAGCCTCAATGATCCCGCCTGTGGAAAAATGGAGAAGAAAGTTGCTCATGAATCTCTAGAACCTTACCTGCTTTAGAACTTTGGGGTTTATGAACTCGCTGACTAGGCCACATGGAGAATGATGCCGGGCTTGAGACCCACACATCTCTTCCTCCTAAGCCCCCAATCAACTCCTGGCGATTTTATTTCACCCATCTGTCTCAGAATGGTGAGGAAAGAGAATGCCAGTATTCCAGTGTTCATCCTCAGCTCTCCTGGGGAAACGGCTTCATGGTAATATCAGAGATGAGAGAGAGATCAATTAATTAGATACATTTTAGGCAAGAAAAAAATTAACAGCAAAATCTGAACTACAACAAATAAAAAGAAACAAGGAATATGAATCCGCAGATAATTTTTTTTTTAATATCAAGAAAAATGCTGTTTTATTGAAACATAATATACATAAAGAAAAATGCCTATATTATAAGTATAAACTTAATGAATTTTCACAGACTGAACATACTCATTAACAGGCATCATTTGGAGAGTTCTTTTGGTGTTTCTTTGAAGATACAGCTTTCAGAACTTTTTCCAGACTCATTGAATCAGAATCTCAAATTTTGAGACCCCCAAATGTATATTTAATGAATTAATTAATTTTTAAATCCTCACCCAAGGATATATGTTTTTATTGATTTTAGAGAGAGAGGTGAGAGAGAATCATTGATTAGTTGTCTTCCATATGTGCCCTGACTGGAGACTGAACCCGCAGACAAATTTCTAAGGATAGGAGCTAGCAAGCCCCCTGAACCTGAATTCCATTGCCGGCAAAGTAAGAGCGAGTGAGGAGCAGACAGCGAGACAACCTGACCCTTCCCAGTAAGCCCTCATTACAGGTTTCACTTAATTAAGAGCTATTACTATTTTGCTAAGGATGATACAACACATATTCCAACACACACAGATGTCAAAGCAGCTGGCTGCATTCAATGTGTCTTTTATATGCAGGAGAAATCCACATACTAGAAAAACTACTAGTCCTATTTTCATTGTCATTATTTTAAATATTATTAAATCAGTCATACAATTGTTCCACGTATATTTCCTCATACAGTATTTAAATAAAATACAAGATAAAAGATGAGGGACTTTAAAAAATGACCCACCTCGACTCTTCCGGCCGCCAGGAGGAGAAGCTGGGGCCAGAAAAGGAAGGTGGCCACTCCAGGAGCCCACCACGAGTGTCAGGCAGGCCAGGGCTCCAGGCCAGGACTTTTCCACTGGACCCACTTACCACCACTTTGACAGAGGGCAGGGAGACTCGTTGGGCAGAGGGACTTGCCCTTGGTCACACAATCAGCTTTGGAGCAAAATCCCAATTCCACACCCAGGTCTCTGAACACCTGCATCAAAGCTCTCCCAGTATAGCCCGACAGCAGAAAGAAATTAAATTTAAAAAATGGAGCATAATCAAGATGAGCCCAGCAGAGCAATGAGTTTCCTGAGAGCTCGTGGTTTTCAAGGACATTAGGATTCTCATAGCCATTCCACTGACATGAGAGAAAGGCATAATTTCAAACTTGCTGAGGAGGCCAGCACCGGCCCTGTGGACAGTGCCATCCCACGGAAAACAAAAGACAGCCCCACCCCGAGGCCCAGGAAACCTATGCTTCTGCTTGCAAAGGGGGATAAATCAGAACAGTTTCTATAATTCCCACTAAAGAGGTCTGAGATCCCAGATTTCTCACTTCCCAGGTGTCTAAACGGCGCTGAAAGCAAGACTCTCCCACTTGGCCCCAGGGCACTCTCCCACACTTGCCAGCTTCCCTCCACGCATAAATGAAAGTGGCCTCCCTTTTCCATAATCAACTTCTCTTTTAATATTTTTTTTTTCTTCTTTTCCATAAAGAGAACAAGCAGCTTTGCTCAAGAACCGCTGTGAAATGATTGAAGTTCCCATGCAAACAAACGATTAACAGAGTTCAAATGCAATTTAAATTACCAGTTGTTAAAGTGCTCCTCAATTTCATGGTAAGTTTCCAAGGAGAATTACATGCTATATACTATTTAATTGGTTGTTTTCTATTTTTTAACATCCATTTATCCCCCACCACCACCTTTATATTTCAGAAGTGTCTATAAAAGCTTCCCTTTAAAAAATTATACATTGTTGAATAGATTAAATCTAAAGATTGAAAAGTATCAGAGAAACAGCTGCAGAATTACGCGGCTCAGCAAAATGGATGGTGTTGACACCATAAAACATGCAGAATTTTAAAATCTTAGGAGTCATCCCGTAGTGCCATCATTTTTTACAGATGAAGACACTGGGACCCCGACAGGAAAAGGAGGGGTTGACTCGAAGTCCCCTCACTGGCCAGTGACAGCATCAAGATGAGTACCATGGCTCCTAACTCCTAGCCCGTCCTCCTCCCACCACCACATGGTTGGGGGAAATACTCAATGAATTTTCCATCCATAATTTTTTCAAAGAAAATAAAAAGTCCTCTTCAAATACACTCCTAACCTCAAAAGCAGAGATGGGCAAAGGCAAATATCTCCCCCAAAAAGGGAGAAAAAGGAAAGAAAGGCTGATGGATGAGTACAGTCAAAGAAGTTCAAAATGAGCAGATTCTTGGCAGGAAAAGTCAAGACACTCATCTATTCATTAATCAAGTTATGAGACATCAAGAGTGCCGATATCCCCTGCTTTATCTAGCCTGGAATGAGGGCCTGCCCCGGGATGGCAAGGATGAAAGATCAACAAAGTAAAGGCAGGTCTCATCACATCTGTAAATAGAAAGGATTTCTGGAGAACGTCATGAGTACAGGATGAAATTCAAGACTTGATATTGGACTTGTGTAAGCAATTTACCCTCTCTGAACTCAAGCTGTCCTGTCTGCAACATGAGGCTATTGCCACCTACCTATCAGGGGGTATGTAATCATGTCCAGGGATTCCTTATCCAGCATGCCCAGCTCCGGCTGGCACAGAGTGTGCATTAGAACCTTGACTGCTAAGGTTTCTATAATGTCTCAAAGCATATGGTTCTGTGGTTCTAATTATATGAACTATAACTCAGTCTTACAACCCCTGGGTGTTCCCTGAGGCTGTTAGATACTGTATGTCCCCTGACTATACATTCATTTATTTAGTCATTCAAGAAAATAAAATAAACTTAAACATCCGAGCATTTTCCTCCCAAAGCAAACTTTTTGGAACTGCTATTTAAAAATGGCCTTCAAACTCCGTTTGTGAACCATACAGCAGTAAAAATCCCAATTTAATGTCCAAAACCTCGTTTAACCGTTCATCAACCCTATGAGAAAGATTTCCCAATTACCCATTGAGGAAACTGAGAGTCAGGGAGCTCAGGCAAGGTTTTGGAACTAGGAAACTGGAAAGCCAGGACTTGAACCCTGGTCTTCTAAATAAAGCTCCATGGTACAGGTTTTATAGCTTTGCACATACAACCATACTAGGGACAGCTATTCTGCTAGAGGCAGAAATATACCTTAAAAAAACAAACAAACGAAAAAAACTTTCTGCTATTTTCACATTTTGAGGAGCTTTGGGATAAAAAAAATTAAGGCTGAACTTCCAAATTAAAAAACAGTGTTCACATCAGAAGCAGACAGATCCTTCCTGAATTCCATCTTCCTGTCATGCTCCTCAGTGGGATAAGCTCAGAGCCCTGGCACGAAGCACACATCTGCGGGGTATATGGGAAGCAGGCCTGAGAAAGGTTAGCAATGAGCTGACATCAGGCCAATTCAAACGGCTGGGCTCACAATCAGACAAATCACCAGTAACCCTATTATGAGCTTCTGAATACCGCTCAGACACAACTGTTAGCTAACAGGATGTCATGTGCCTCGCATTCGGCGGTGCATAAAACAGACCCTGTTAGCACCTCCTGTCCTTAGTAAGGCACAGGTATGGACCTAGCAGGTGTAGGTGCTTAGTTAGACGTGCCTTGAACTCTCCAAGGGCTCATAACCTCACTGGAGATGTGCTCAAATACACAAAAAGACAGAAAAGCGTGCAAAGCCTACGTACATGCAATGTCACGTTGAGGGTCAGGAAAAGCTCTGCAGATGACTTCTAAGCTGAGCATGAACACCCAAGAGGATTTCCACGTATGCGGGGGAGGAGATAGGCCCAGGGAACGCGATGTGCTAAGGCCTTGAGGAGGATGAGTTCAGGGTGTTCTCAGGGAAAGTAACTAATCTGCTGAAACCATCGGCCACGCACAAGGAGGGATGCGGTGGAACATGAGGCTGGAAAGGTATGTTGCAGCCAGATCATGGAGGACCTGTGCACCAGCCTCAAATACTTGGATCTGGAGGCTCATGGGTACTGCATTTTGAGAAATGACTCTCAAGAGCAAGTTAAATGGCAGCATTATCCTTTTAGGAATGGAATCGCCGTCTGAGGTCAGGGCTCAGCACAGCAGTGGCGGGAGTCTGAAGCAGAGCTTCCTCCGAAAGCACCACCCACAGAGGAGTCAGAAGAATAGGAGGCTCAGAGTTTCCAACCCCTAAACTCCAGGGACCCTTTCCTCTAGTCTGGACTTCTCACCTATGGAAGACCCAGGAGAGAAACGAAATACTATGTTCCAAGCAGAATTTCCACTCTACTTTCAGGGAAGTGGCAGCACTACCCAACTTGGTAAGTGAGAAGAACAGGCTGAACACAGACCCTGGCCTCTTTCTTCTCACTAAAGAGGCAGGAGCCAGGGGCCTATCCAGCAAGTACTGTGCATGCCCCAAACTCCACACCTTAAAGCGCCCAGCCAGGCCTGACACCATGTGACTGGAACTTCTCACTAGGAATGAGCTGCACTGACGTCACCAGTTAAGTTGTGTGAAATCCCTTCCTTAAAGGGGCCTTTGTAGCAGGCCCCATGTGTCAAAGACACAGGGAAGGTGTGATTCCCTTCCTGCCCGGAAGGAGCTCCCAGTAGGGAAGGAGCTAAGATATCCACATAGTAGGAGAAGGCAGGTGCCTTAGAAGAGGGACAGATAATAGTACA